CCATACCTGTACACTTAAACTTAGCCAATATTATGTACCAATTCAACCTCACTAAAGTTGGAGAAGTTTAAATATATGTAGCATAGAGAGAGGGTTTGCCCTCAATATTGCCCTCATTGTTACCTTTATAATCGATATAATGTGGCCCTGCCACAAGAAATGTTATAAAGTGGAACTGAACAGAAAGCCCAGGTAAATTCTCATTAGATAAAGTAATTTGGTGTAAAGGCAACAGCCAAATGAATAAAAAGGAAAGGACTGTTCAATAAAATCTATCTGAACAATTAATTATCTCCTTCTGGAAGAATTAAGTTAGTTTTTTGCACCCTGTACCAATTTTTCTAATTCCAAGTTAAGAAATGAAATGTAGACAGAGAAAGAGAAAGCAAACGAAAAAAGCCTACGACATACTGTACCTAGCTGATTTTGTGATAGAGGAAAAAGTCTTCCTGGGCACGTAACTGAAGAAATTTCCAGGGGGAAGGGTTGACAGCTGACATTGCCTAGACATTTAAAACTTCAGAAGAACAGATACCAAAGTCTTAGCCCTGACTGGTAAGAAAACCCGTAAAATGGAAAACGGTGCAAAAGGACCCACAATTTACTAGAGAAGAGATTCACTCAGAGGAGATCCAGGGAGCAGTGGCATCACCCTGAAGCCCAGCAGCAATTAATTCAGGAAGGTGCTTTTTTACAACCTAATTCCCAGTGTCGTGGCAGCTGTGTTGAAATGGGCCCCTCGGATGCTTCTGGGAGAAGCAGAATATTCTGGAAAACAATTTGAAGAGTCGCCCACCCACTCAGTGTGTTGAAAATGGTCTAGGAATGCTCTTCCAGAAACCTAATCCGACAGAAAAGCCAACCGAAATGCAAACAAAACTTACACGAGTGCTTGCTACAACTTTTTTCTTTCTTTCTTTGCAACAATCTAATTTTCAGCCAAAATGAAGCCATTAGCACAATACTAATTTTCCAGTGTGGGAACATGCCACTTGTTTTCACTTAAAAACTTTAAAACCTATTTCTAAAGCCCAGGTCCTGGCTTAATCTCCAAAGCTGTGGGGTCAGAATGGCCCATATTTGCCTGAGCCTCAGGGGGCTCCTTCAAGAAGACCCTCTCCGGTGTGGGGGGAGGGGCAGGGAGAGTCAACTGAAGCCCCTTCCTCAAGCTCCTCTTCCACCAAAAGGAATCCCATTGGCCGGTTCACAAGACCAGAGAGCTAAGCCACAGCCCCTCTCTGCTGTGGAGTGGTCGGGGCTGCTCACAGCCCATAGAAGGAAATCCCAGGCCCGACCACGGCTGGCCAGCGTGGCCTCTCCCCGCCCCCACTCACAGCTGTCCCCAGACTCATCCAGTCACCACCCACAGAGCTCCTGTGCTCAGGAGACCTCTGTGCCCCGGTCCCCCGGGATCCCCAGCACCCACCCTGGGCTGGGCAAAGGGTGAACGCCTTGGGGACGTCCCTACAAGCCCCCACGGCGCTTCCCGCTGGGCTGCGGCAGCCGCTGGCCCCTGAGCCCGCTGGGCCTCTGCTCTCTGCCTGGCCTGTTCCCAGCAGGTTGTCGGCACCTTGGTGTGGAATCAGGGAGAAAGATGGGAAGGATGTTTCCTGAGGTGGAGAGAGGAGAGGTGGGGGCCTGGAAGGAGGCTTCAAGGTTGACAGCCAGAGAGGGGCAGTGAGGACCACCCTGAGGAGCCCCCGCCTGGGCCCCCGGACGCCACGTCCGGCTCTCCGATAGCCTGCAGGGCCCCTGCCCTGCAACGCTGCCAAGCTTCTCGCGAAATATGGGTTATAAATCAGAAATGACGTCAACCTGGCAGGTGGCCTTGGGTAAGACTCATCATGTCCTGAGCCTCAGTTTCTCCACATGGAAGAGAAGGGCGGGGAACTCGAGCTCTAAGCTCCCACAAGCTGCAATCCAGAGGGGGGGCTGCAACCCCAACACATCCGTCTTCAGGACCCTTAACCATGTTGCCCCCGGCCCCAGGGGCGGGGTCCAGACGCCCCTGGTCCTTGAGCCGCAGAGCCGAGGTGCAGCGGCCCCCAGCCCGTGTCCAAACTCAGCCGGGGCCTGGCCAGCGGGCGCAGGGCTGAGCTCAAGGCACCTGGCCCACACTGCTGGTCTCTGGGCGCCCTAAAGCAGCCTGGTGGGGGGGCGGGCAGCCAGCTGGCCGGCCGCAATGCCAGCGCGGCCAGTGTTCACCCTGGGCTCCAGCAGGGGTGTGGGGCATCCCCGTACGCTCCCCCCCTATTTTGCTGTGTGAAATTTTTCATGAGAAAATATTGGTTAGAAAGTGTTCTCAACGGGCTTCTCCCCGAAAAGCCCCCAGTGGGGTCTCCCAGACACCCCTCTCAAGAGCAAGCCCCTAGCCTGAGTCCAAGGAAAGGGGGTCCGGGCGCTGCAGGCACTGCCTGCAGGAGTGGGGGGCGGGGAGCAGGTGAGGGGCTCGCGGGCGCTGCGGCCTTTCCGGTCTGCCACGGAACCCACAAAAACTCAAAAGGCGAAGCCCTGCCAAGCTCCTCGCACTGGCTTCAAGGTCTCACGGGGACGAGCAGCGCCTCCCCGCTTTTCCTCGCGCACGAGCGGCTGGGCGCGGGAGGTCACTTGTGGCAGCCGCACAGCCAGGAGGTGCGGGCCGCGTTCAGAGTCCTGGGCTCTGGGCCCCTGGCCTGGCAACCAGACCCCGAGATGCCCGGAGGGAGCCAGGGAGCGGGCTGGGGAATGTGCCAGAGTGCCCCGCCCTGCCGCGGCGCCCCACAGCGGGCGCGCGGGGCGGCAGGTGAGCGCGCGCCCCGGGCGCTACCTGGGTCGTGGAAGGGTACCAGCGCGAAGTTGGCCACGGCCCCGCCGTCCAGGCTGCGCTGCAGAATGCGCGAGGCGCCGTCCATCACCTGCAGCAGGTCGTCCCACATGGAGCCAGTGACATCGAAGACGAAGGCCAGGGTGGCATCCCCGGTGGTCGCGGCCAGCCCCGTCGGGGGCGCGCCGGCCACCGCTGTGGCCGCGGAGAGCGCC